GAAGGTCTGTTGCACTAGGTATATTTGAAAACTTTCTAATCTTACATTTGTTCTCTATTACCTTTTTCTCATATGAAAGATTATGTTTTACTTCTGCTTTTGGTTTCGATGTGTTGAAACTTTGAGAGGCTAAAAAAATGCGTTCTTCAGCTTCGACTTCAGCTTGTAAAAATTCTAAAATGCATTCTAAATCACTTCTCTCAATTATAGTTTTACTTTCGTCTGAATCATCTAAATTCACTTCTCGAATTCTACGATGAGCAGATCTATAGCGCTGCCAAGCAACAAGAGTTTCTTCGGGTAATGATGATTCAACTAGTGGAAAAAGTATTGCAGCATATTTTTCCCTAGTAACACCTAATAATTCAAGTGATCGCAGTTTACTCTCTAGTTGATCGAACAATTTTCTTAATGAATTTTTAGAAGTGTTCTGTTTTTCAAGAACTAATACTAATAAGTCTCTGACATATATACCTGAATCAATAGTTCCTCTCTGCCGAAACGCATTTTCAGCTGTTTTAAAGCTTTTTCATAACTATTACCCCCTGGGGGATAGCTCTTAATTAATTCTTCAGCAGGACTGCCTTTTTCCATTGCTTGAGATAAATACGAAAATTTATCGTGAAAATTGATATTAATGTCCTCATCAATTTTTTGAAACTGACCCCAAAAGTATAGCCAATTTCTTACACTACCATCAAAAGTAGGTAATTTTATTTTTGGGTAACGTAATAAAGTGTTCGGCTGCGAAACAATGTTCAAATTTTCATTTTTAGAAGATAATTGTTCATTCACTAGTGTTTCTAGCTTCTGCTTTAAAGATCTCTATCGATCAATATACATTTCTGACTCATCTACCGCTTTCTCTATTTCGGTATCGGAAGTATTTTCAGAATACAACAAATGTTTATATTTCTCTTCACATGCTATCATTAATAAAGCTTTCTCTTCAATTAGCTTTAATTTATTAATTTTATCAGCATGATTTAATTTGATTTCTTCCTCATCAAAAGTATTACATGCTCGAGTACAACCTTCTAAGTTGCTTTCTATCTTTCAAAACAATATCCATAATGCGCAAAGAATAAAAGAAAATATAAAATATTTTTTCACTCACTCTTAAAAATGCAGCCGTAGTCCTGTCTCTTGGATGCCAGATATCCCGTTTTACCTTCGATATCAGAAGAATTATGATGGAAAATGAGTATACAATCAATTATCCAATGAAAGACATCTCGTCACAACACAAACAGTTTAATATTACAATTCTATTTACAAGTCTAATTAAGTATTAGTTTTAGCTTTGACACCTCAAAGCAATACTCAGAACATAAATGGCATAAAATATTACTCATCAGTTTTTAAATACTCATGAAAAACATCTCAAAAAGTCATTATTCTCATTACTTAAAACGAAAGTAAACAATAGAACAAACTCGAAAACGTAGATGTAAAAACTCAACTGTTGCCAATCGCGATTTACTAAATTACATCAAAATAAAGATAATAATCAGGTAGAGGTTCAACTTCACAGATACTGTTACTTCTAAGTCTATATTAATAGTTTTATAGTCAGATGGAAAATATCATTCATACACGAAATTTTAAAGGTTTTTCATCTTTGAAGAAATAAACACTTTTGTACCATGAATTTTAAACTTTTTAGAACTTAAGTAAAATTTTGCTAACAGTAAAATTTCATAAAAATAGCTTACTCTAGATATTATGGAATTAAGACTTTTTAGGTGGCAAAACTAAGCAAGAACTTCATATGCAGGGAAAATGTATCTACAGGTGTTGAATTATATTTGAGGACTTAAAGAATCACATTTTAGGAGGGAAAACATTCATGTAAACTCTGTAGGCTGTTTGGGGAAAAGATTGAATATTTTAAACTTTAATATAAATGCATTGAGTAGCTGATAATTTGATGAAACTGTAGTTTGCTAAAACTTGTACTGCATTAATTCTCTACAGAGCATTATAAAGGAATGTCTTCATCTTTCTGCAATTTCATGGATTTAGGCTTAGTAGCAAAAAACCTTCCAACCCTGGAGGGACGCTCGCAAAAAAAAAGAAAAATAATTGGCCCCAATGGTACATTCGCATTTGCTCCTTTTGTTAAGGGATTAAGGATTTTCTCTGAGCTTTTGGAGCATAAGCATATATATTTATTAGTAAATAACAAGTATTCTATTTACATGTAACTATGAACAGCAAATGTTGAAAATTCAGTTTGGAAACAGAATTCTTTCTTTGATTTCGCAAAGAGGAAATGTTTTGTTCTAGCTGGTTCTATTTCCTTGTGGTTGAATAGGTTGTCTGCAAGCAACTGGCCTATATGCAGTGTATGTATGATTCGGTTTTTCTTCAGAAAGTCCTCTATGAAGACAAACATCTTGTTAGGAAATAGTGGTAGTGTGCTTTACTGTAATATAATAATCTAATCAAAAACTCCTAAGAAAATGCTGATAGTTTTTAATGTGTTAATTGGGTATGATGAATGCAAATGAGGACATTTTTTGTCATGCCTGGAATATTACCAAAATGCTAATAACGACATTCTTCATCACTGAAATCAACCGTGTTATGTTGAACACATTAAGCTTAATGTAGTTCTCATATATTAACCTTTTAACTGTGAAGTTATTTTGATGATTTGGGTGCATAAATTGTCGATTTTTTTTTTTTTTTTTATTTCAAAAATGAAATGTTTTCCTCGCAGTCAAAAAAACCAATAAAATGCCATGCACTTTGAACTTTAATCTCTATCCTTTGAAACCTTCAGTAAAATGCTGCCATCTGTTGAACTGAAGCTGAAATATACTTCTCATGATATATATTCGGGTATAACAATACGATGCACTAAAAAAAAAAAAAAAAATTAGCCCGAGAAATACTCGGGCGTGACATTTTGGAATACCAGTGCTGTGCCCGAGATTATTTCGGGCATGACAGTTAAAAGGTTAAATCCTAGCATGGTTATGTGGCATATTGTTAACAAATCATGTACAATCGTGTTTGCAATCTGGCACTTGAGCACTATTTGCAAACAATCAGTTGATGCACGCGCTTGTGCACTTAAACATTATGAATCGAATTTGCACAATTTGGCTTCATTTTACTCTGCATTTCAGTATTTTACATATTAGTGATTTCAGTAATTGTTATTCTCTTCAAAATATGGCTAAAGTTACTTAAAAGTATGCCACATTGCTTCAAGAGCTTTAAAAGTATGCCACATTGCTTCAAGAGCTTTAAAAGTATGCCACATTGCTTCAAGAACTATCATATTGCAAATTAATTCTTTGAACATTGAAAATACTTGATTTATGTATTAAATATCATAAGGTTTTTTTTTTTTTTCGTGGAACTAAAAAAATCAATAAATTAAAAACAAATTTTCTTTTATTACTTGAGGTTGGTTGGAGTTTCACAAGATTTTATATTTTGGTTAACAGGTTAATTATCCAATTCAGAAACCTGATAAAAAATGGGCCTGTTACAGCTGCTAACTCTTCTGATTTTGCATCACATCTTCTGATCTCCTAGTAGATCATTGAATCTGACATTTTAAAATTTTTACCTTTTGCTAAGGAAGCTGTTTCACGACAATAAATGAAATTAAATTGTGCAAATTTCGTCTCCCCACCACATACATGTTTTCAACATAATTTTTTATATTAAACTTCTTTTGATCTGAACTATTTTAATGCACTGTGGATATTAATTGAACTTTTTATAAAGATTTAAGCAATATTTAATCAGTTTGTAGAGACATTAGGTTATTTCGAAGCAAAAGAGATGAAAAATGAGCAAGGCCCTCACTGGGACTCAAACCACGGACTTCTCGAATACGCTTCGAGCTTGCTGACCACTACACCATGAAGGCATGCTAATAAGGCGGGAGAAATGCCTTACCTTCTCCCCTTCTTAAAGGGTGACTGAATATTAGGGAACCCAATTACCTAATCCTGGTGGTGGAGAATCATAATTCACCACCTTTTTTAGGTCAGGCGCCACTACAAAGACATTAGGTTATTTCAATGCAAGAGAGATAAAAATGAGCAATACCCTTGCCGGGATTCAAACCACGGTCCTCTCAAATACACATCGAGCATGCTGACCACTACACCACGAAGGCATGCTAAGAAGGCAAGATAAATACCTTATAAGTTAATATTGGTATTTAATTTAATTCACCACTGCACAAAGGCATGCTAAGAAAGCGGGAGTTATATTGTTATTATATATATTATAAGTTAATATTGGTATTTAATTTAATTTTACATCAGTATATAATATATTACTGAGTTCATCCACACAATAGTACGTACATTAATCATTAATTTTATTTCCATCGTTTTTAAAAGTACTATGAGAAACAAAAGCTTTCCTTCCCTGATTGGGATTTTGTCAGTAAGTAATAAAAGGAAATAAATAAAAAAAGGAAAGTGTAATAAAAGGAAATTAGCCAAAGGACAAAGTTTAGAATATGTAATTTATTGGAAGTTTATTACAAGTAGTAGAATAATGAATTATATTTTAAAACAAATTTAAATCAATTTGAATTTTGAAATCTTGCTACTGCACAGCATGAAAAACCTCTTGGAAACTCTTGGTTTTTCATATTTCAAGAGGGGCAATTATAGTATGTTTCATTTGTAAATGTAACATAAAGCATGAAAAGTTTTAAAACTAGGTAATTTTATTTTTCGAAAATGGAGTTTTCTTTTTATTTTCTCATTAAGTATCTGAATTGCCCTCAGTACTTTAAATCCTCGATGTTGAAAGGTTTTTAGATAAGCAGTTTTTATAATCTAAAGTTTAGATATCTATGTTGCGATGAAGCATGTGTAAATATCAAATTTATGATTTCTTTTAATATGTATAAGGCTGTTAAATGGTCATTAAATAGAAGGTAACTTTAAAATGATGCTTATTTAATGTAGCTTGTATTCTAAATATAACCTTTTTTTTTTGTGTGTGTGTGTGTGTAGGACTTCACAAAAAGAGCCAGGCAGAAAGATGATGGAAGTTTTGAAAAGATACCTTATGGACAAACTATTTTCTATGGCAATTCTGTCTCAGAAAGAGATGAGATTGTGTCAGCTACCTTTAAAATTTGTATTCTTATTGAAGGTACTTTTAAACAAAATTTATTCTGTAATTATAATCTGAAAAGGCTATCCAGAATGATATAAATGCCATTTCGTTTAAAATTTCAGAAAAATAATTAATTTTTGTATTATCAAAATGAACTATTCTGTATTATAAATATAATTATATTAATTTCCTGTTTTTGAAGATGGCTTTGTAATTATAATTATAATGCACACTTTGTGTGCTGAGAAAAATCTATCACAAAAATAATTTGGACACCTTTTTTGTAACAGTTTTAACTTCAATATAACTGTACTTTGCTTTTGCTTTCAAAGTATGATAATTCTGGTAAAGCACCATTTTAAATGTTTCTTTATATTGTATTCTGTAGTACACTTCCCTAAGAATGGAATACCTAATACATTGCAGAGTCCGAAGTCTAGATGTTCTTTATCGAGACCACCAAAAAATAGATAAATAAGTAAATAAAATAATATAAAAAATAAGCCCCTGAGCTTTTTCTTGGAAGGCTTAATATTGTAAACAAAAGAAAGCAGGCGTGCCATGAATGCGAGTTTTATCTTGACCCAGATTTCTCCATGTTTATTTCTAACAGCTGTTACCTAAGAAGTCACTGTGTGGCCAGTGACAATACATTAATTAATGTTGGCCAGGATCACATTTTCAACACTTGATTGGTTATGAGGGATTAGCATTTTCGAGTTTGACCTAAACAGTAGGTGAAGCTCTGATGTTACAATGTCTACATGCCATTTTACTAGATTTAAACTGGTGATCTAAAACTAAGGGATTTCTAAGCTCCAGAATTGCCTAAGTGATTCCGGATCTCAAGTGTTATACTGTGTATTGCCGAAAGTAAAATATTAATCACATTCATTAAAAACTGCTGTTTCTGCTCTATATGCAGCATTAATTACACTTGTGTAAAATATAATTTTGCATAGTATGAATTCACTTATCTCCCACATCAGAGCTATCTTCTCATGACCTGTTGTAATGTCTGAATTATTAATGTGAACATAATTCAGACAGGAAATATGCGTGTATACTGAGATGAAGACTAATGGGAGAACTGATGACGCAGAGATCAAAGTATTATGCTGAAGTCATGCACAGAATGCTCGATCTGACCAATATACTGATAGAAATCAAGATTTCAGAAAAATCTTAAAAGAAAGTTTATCTTCCAACAATGTCATATAAGTTATGGGGCCTCTTTTAAATGAGCTGAAGTGGGGACAGAAAGAGTGTATTGCATATGTCAGAGGGCATCATGCATATGACATGTGCTATCAGTTAACCTCAACATCGAGTAAATGAGTTTGGAAGAAAGTTTTCAAATCTTCTAGGATATATCAGAATTATTCCATTTCTATTTTGAAGAAAGATGGCAAAATAATATGCATTGGAAGCTTCTGATTCTATCTAAATTATCTTTCTGTATTTGTTCAGGCTGCTTCTGAAACCGCCATTTACTTTCACAAATTTCTTTCAAAATAAACTGCACTGTGAAAAAATCTCACTCTTTCAGCACTGCCAAATGACATTTAAAGCATAAAGTTTGAAATAAAGTGTATTTTAAACTTCTAATGATATAAGTACTCCTTGTAAAAATCATGTCAGCTACACAGTGATAAATTTCTAACCTGTATGTCTTTGTTTCCCTTCTCACTCTTATTAACAATGTTTGGAAGGAGACTTTTCCATAATATACGAGTATGATGTAGATCTATTGCTAGTCCAGTAGTAAATTCCATGATGAAACCAGAGCCTATGAGGATACTGGAAAAGGACCTCCCTTGAAGTATAGCACCCACTAGTTTTCTGCCTAAAATTCTGGTGAAAACGGTCAGCCCCTATTTAGTTTGACTTTCTAGAGAAGAATGATATTTTCATATTCCATTGAAGCATCTATTGGCTGCAGTGATTCTATTTTGTACTTCTGTAGTAATATTGTTCCTTTTGTTAATTTCAGAGCCTAAATATGTGAAGCTGTCAACAGTTTCAAATTTATATTTTCCACTTTCTGAGTGTCCTTGAAGTCTGTTTTAGTACACCGCGTATATTTTGTTTTATATTCATTAATTCTCAGGCTCATCCTGAGAGCTTCCTTCTGTAGAGTTGTATAAGCCCATTTTAATGCTGCTGGTGTTCTAGCAATAATGTCAGTGTCATCAGCAAAATCCAGTAACTGTACCAGTTCATTAAAGATGTTTCCTCTAATACCCTGATGTTTGAATCTCTTATTACTTTTTCTAATGCTGGATTAAAGAGGCATGCCAATGCATCACCCTGTTTAATGCCATTTTTAATATCATTTGGCTTTGATAATTCATTCTGAGTTTTTACTATGATTTTTATTATAATCTAGTGTCAGCGTGATTAGCTGTAATAATTTTTTGGGTATTTTAAACTCCCTTAAGGCTGCAGTGAGAGCTGTTCTATTAATACTATCATAGGGAGTTTTGAAATCAGTAATGGGGGATGATCATTACTGATTTCAGTAATGGGATCAGTAATGGGATCAATTCCAAATTCTTTTGCCTTCTCCATAACCTGTCGAATATTGAATATTTGCAGTATGGTAGATCTTCCCTTTCTAAAGCTGCTTTGATAGTCTCCAGTTGTTCTTTCCATACGTACAGAGAGTATTGAATAAAATACTTGAGAATATTTTATAACTTACACAAAGCAGGCTGATTCCTCTATAACTAGAATATTCAAGTATACCTCATATTCATGTGTACACAATTTCCATTCTTCAAGTATAATTTCCTGATTCCATATTATCTGTATTAAACTGTATAATTTCTTAGATTTTATACATTACTGATCTATATACTATAAGTATGAAGGGGAAGTTGAGGAGATCTATAAAAATAATTACAGCTTGCGTTATGTAGCATCATGAAATAGTTCAATATGAACTGTTTTTTTAAGTTCTCCAACTGGAAGGCTATTTGCATCCATTTTTGCTTAAAAGGGAGATTATATCTAAATCCTTAGCGAGTTCAAATGCTGAATTATTCCAACAAAATTGGGCATGAAATGTCATGCTGTGATGTTTTATAATAAACACACTTTCATCTTGCCTGTTTTGTTCTTAAGGAAGAAATGTCTCAAGGCAATAAATACCTTAATATTTCTTTCAAACAATTGAGAAGATCACTATTCTTTGCTTCATATATATTCTGCTCTGATTTGTTCTAAATTAGAGTGTGGCCCAATTTATAGATCTGCATGATCTTCTTTATTGCTGAATTCGACTGTCATCAAACCTTGCAAGTATATTCAGGGCTTTTCAGAACATCCCCAGAGCAGATCTTGCATGATGGATGTTGAACTATCATAAAGGCATCATTGTCAATGATGTAATTTTTTTTTTTTTTTTTGTTAAGTTTTATTTTGCATTCTTGAGTGGCATGTTGCTATGAAGCTTCCTGTATTCTAAATAATTATTGATAAATTAAGTTTATGAAGAGACTAGAAATGGGTTATATTGCTTGTTATGTCTAACAGTAATGGATCAAACTGTGGTGATCATGTTGGCATAATCTTTATTTGTAATTGCAGTATTAAAAGTTACTGATTAATGGAAATTTATTACATTTTCACAGCTGAAACAGCTGGTATTCTCCACACCTTTTTTATGTATAGGAAATCAACTTCATTTCATTTTGAGTACTAAAGGTTCTTAAAAATTTTAATTCAGGAACCCAGTTATTATTGGTGTATTAAGTCTTGCTCAAAGCTTGTGAAGTACAAGGTGTCAGCATTTGCTTTGGAATCCCTGAATATGTCATTATTAAATGAAATTAGATTGTACTTGCTTCTGCAAAATCGTCAAACTCTTCTTAAGCATTGTGTTCACTTGCACAAACAGTTGAAGAGTCAATTAAAAAGAAATTCAATAAAATGACAGAGATTTTAAAACCAAAAATAGGAAAGAGAAGCCAAAAAGGAACTAGAAAGAAGAAATTTTACTAACTTTCTTGCAGAATGGCCATTTAATAATTACTCTTCGGTATTCATCATTTGGAGAAAATACGCCCATCTGGAGCAACTTTAATATTGATTTCACTATCAGGCATGTTTTATTAGAATGTCCTTTGATATCTGGCACATTTAATATTTTATCCACAACATTGTAACGTTTATAATGATAATTTGTATACATTTTTATGGGGAATGTCTTTATCATCTGCTTTGATAAATTATGCTTCTGTCAAATCATTCTTTAATTACACCTGATCTTAACTACTGAGTCATGTTTTAAGTGTAAATTCGAATTTATATTTTACGTGAATATTATGTTTTACTTTTTTGGTTTAATCTTTTAACCATATTTCATTTGGATTTATGTTTTGATGTTTTGATCTTGTAACCATTTACCATTTGACCTTTTTATCTCAGCTTTAATGTTCCTGTTTTAAGCATTCTAACTAACCAGTTATTTAGCACAGCACCTTGCTAATTTTTGTGCCAATAATTAAAATCAACCAACCACTAAAATTATTTATTACCTTGCATCGTTGTGTTTAAGAGCTTATTGTGCATGTTTTGCATTTTTTTAGATGGAAAATTTTCACATACAGTACATTCTGATCAAATTTTGTGCCAGATTTTCGAAAATGTTTAAATTTATGGGATGGTAAAGCAAGTTTATGTTGGGCCATGTGCTATGTAATGTACAAATTTAAGAACTAAACGAATCAATAGTCATCTGATACCTGTTTAGGGTGATTCACTTGACTGTGTAAGACATTCCCACATTCACTGACTGCTAAACTAGTTGCACTTTACTTCAAAAATGCTGTTTCCATCAAAGTATCTTCCCTACATTTATACTCAAGCATATGTGTGGTATGTATATGCATAGGTTGGCAACTGTTGCATGTATACTAAAAAATATGGCCAAAGCTTTCTTCTAAATGTTGAAACCAGGCATTTGGGTATTCAGAAATTACTAGACTTTATGATGTTTTATTTTTGGAAGATCATAAGTAAATTTAAAATTTACAGTAATTTAATAAACATTATTTCATAACAGACATTATAAAAATTTTGTTAAGATTTCTCATTATCTTTTTAATAAATAATTAAGACTATGAAGATGTGTGACCAACCTTCGCATTTTGACCATTTAATTGAATTTATAAATTGCAGTCACTATTAATGAGTGCTTAAGGCTATAATGATATAAAAAGTCATAAATATATTAAAAGGATAGCCTAAAATTTAAAAAGTTGCATTTAAACATCTGAAAACTTAATTGCACTTACAAAATAGATGCAGAATATCAAAATGCTAGGAAAAACAGTTTAAATTTTCCTGTGAAAAAGTAACGAAAAGTTAATAAAAAATTAGATAAGGCCATACAGACTACTATATACAGCTTTGTTGAAAAAGATGTCTCAGTTCAACTATACTACAGTGTGTTATACATTTATCTAAATCAAAATAGTTCCCAGTTTAATTATTAAAGGATGCCACAATAATATTATGTTAAATACATGTCAGAGTACTGTTTTCCAAAAGATATCTTTGCGATATTATTACTAAGTTATATATGTTTGATATTCATAAAACTCAAGTAAAATTAAGTGTCTTTAAGCATTCTGCTTTCTGGTAATATCATCAGAAAATGCTAAATATGGCTAAAAGTGTGGTAAATATACTGAAACTATTTGTTAAATTTTAAGTAATATGTATAATGAACAAATCTTTTCTATGCCTGGCAGGAGTGGTACTATTTTAAAAGGCAAGGTAACCTTCAAAAGAGCAGGTACTTTAAGCATGACCAAAGTGGCATGATTTTCTATAATGGCTGAAATGTAAAAGTATAAAATGAACCATCACTGCTCTCAGTGTCAGTTTGCATCATTTTTATAGCCCAAGTTAGATAAATAGTATTTTCAAGACAAACATCTCTAGTAATTACTGATGATTGAGTTAAATGCAACTGTTCCAAACAGAAGTATAAAAAGTTGAAGAATTTATAAATGACCTCAGTTTTCTTGCATTCAGTTATTGTTGGATATTACCTTACCATTTCCTTATAAATCAAAATTTTGTTATTAGCCCAAAACGGCAATTTACCCAGAAGGGCTATTGATATACGGCTATTAATTTTGTTTTGGCATTTTGCGTTGGTTCACTTTTCAAATTGTTGCCTCCTAATATTAGAGCCTTGCATTATATTTAAAGAAATTAAATAACGAATCTGCACAAATGTATGTATGTTTCTCACATTGTGAAAAAACAACGGTACCTAGAGACATCAAATTTTTAATAACCTAGTCCTTCATTTGAATATGGGCATTGTTAAGTCCAAATTTGGAATTTGTTTTATTATCTATATCATATTTTGTCAACCATTAAAGAATTTTTATTTAACAAACTCAACGATTTCAAAGCGAACAATATAAAACTGTATGGGGGGGAAAGACATTTTTATCTCCAGCACGTGAGACTGTGTATTGGAAATTCTAAATATTTGCTCTTTTAAATATTTTGTGATGTGCTGTTGAATTGAACTTTATAGTTTAAGTGCAGGAAACAGGATATTTAATAAGTAAAGGTAATGCACAATATGTTAAAAAAAAAAGGCCCTTTGGACATAATATAAAATCTGAAAGCTTTATGGTTTTTATTTTTTTCTTAATTGATTTTCATTTTAGGTGGTGAGCGAAGCGCTCGTCTAGCTGAAAAATTTTTGTGGAATGATTGTACTGTCATCCCAGTGCTTTTCAATAACCGTGCAATAAAAGATCGACGTTGTCTGTTTGCATGTATATCAAAGGTAGTTTTTTGTTTTTATAACAAATATTTATCATAAAACTCATGTTGTGCCATTTATTTTTTTCCTCATTTGTGACGAATGCTACTGTTTAATGTTTCTTCAGAGAATACAAATTGGTATCAAAATAATCATGCATATTTCCCTTTTTTTTTTAAGTCTTGAAGAATCAAATGCCTTATATTTTGTTTTTGCTTGCCCTGTCAGTATGATTCTTGTCCTTTGTATTTCCATTTTGCTTTAGTCTTAGTAACTGTATGTTGCTCCGTAAAGAAAATTCAACACCATGCACAAATGCTTTAAATATGGCAAAACTTGAGACAGTGGTACAAAAGTATGATTCTGAAAAAATGATTTTAATTTTAAACAGTTACATTTGCATGTACATTACCATTGGTTGAAAATACATGATTTTAGTAAGTAGCAATTTACTATTTTGAATAGAGAAATTAACTCAGCTTTGTGTTCATTGAGTGCTTGAATTCAGTTCTGAGGTACTCGGTCTACATAGCATTGACTGAAGCTTGTAATTCATCATGTTTGTGAGAGTACTGGAGAGCAGTAGTTTGACAGGCATCCATGGCCTATAGATTCTCATTTGACTAACGATCTGTAGATTGTGCTGGCCAAGAAATCTAGATATATTTTCAAAGGATAGTGGCTGATGTTAGCTGTGTTTTTTCCTTTCCACAATATACATGTCTTACAGCAGTTCAACAATAAATTGATGTACTATAAAATATGTTAATAAATTGTACCTTTTTTCTTACTGAATATCATCAGCTGTTGACTACATCCCAAACCCTGACTTCCAAAATGCATATGTGTGATATTCCACGTTGGCAGAAGGATCATTTTGTATGCTGCCTGTACTCTTCTTTATGGAATAAATAGGGGAAGGTAAGAAATCGTGGTGAATTTCTAATTATCGTTACTGATACAGAATCAAGATAAACACATCATAGTGCCACACTCACCTCAGATAGTTCTGTTGCAGCACTGCTGGAAGCATCAACTACCATGATCCAGTATTAGTGGCAATCTTCACAAGGGGTGGCTTAACCGCAGACATGCCTCATCTAACAAGAAATCATCCGGGCCAATGTTGAAGAGTCAATGTCCATATGTAACACAAAATGGTGGCACCTGTGCTCATAAGGCTGCTATTGCAGGATGTTGAATGCATCAATCAATGTGCTATAATGTTTATTTTGGTGCTCCACCTGAAGTAGTGGCTCATTTTTCAGTTACTAATCACTTCTGAAACAGACTTCAGATAATCTCTGAACATAGTACTATACCATTTGTCACCTCAAATAGCTGTGGTGGAACACTAGTAGAAGTATTCAGAATGATGGTGTGATGTTTATGGCAGTCTCTTTGAAGAATGACTTAACTGCAAATCTATGTTATATCATGCTGTAGAGTCCTCTCCCTTGCTCCTCTAAAAAAGAAAGCTATCCAACTTTTCATAGTCTATGATTAAAACTCTTAAGATCACAACTTTTTTTTAATGCAGAAAACATAAAACTTTGGTCCATTTTTAACCTATAAATTCTTATTTTCACACGTAAAAGCTATTGAAAATTCATTACCTAGATTTTTAAAAAATGTCTTAACCTTCTCTTGGGAACTGGGACATATATGTCCCATACATTTACTGTGTTAATTAAGGCCAAAAACATTTTGTTCTTTATGAAAACTTTCTACTTAATGAGAGGCAAAAAATAATAGACCCCTGTTGATTTGTTTTTCTGTTTGCTTGCCAATTGAATGGGTGGCTAAATGTCTTGAATACGTAAAAAATTAATCTCTATGGCCTATGTGAAAAGATTAAAAGTCAATATAGTTTTCTGTTACATCTTTTATCACACTGTCAAATATCATCATTAATCATAACTTTCAAAAGTGTGCATATCTTATTTCTCTAAATGTATTGTGAAATTTGCATAGCATTGTGGCAAAATCTTCTTGGTGTTTTTTTTTTTTTTTTTTTTTTTTTTTTTTTTTTTTTTTTCTTCTTCTTCCCCTGATTACCAAATTGAAAAACTTAAAGGTTGAATTTGTTAACTGTAAATCTGCAAATTCAACCTTTAAGTGGCAACATCTAATGAAATGTAGTTCCTTTTTTTTTTCATTAATTTCTTTAAAAGTACAACTTAGTTAAAGAGAAAAGATTGCTGCTTCTCATTTGGCACAAATTCTTTGTAATTTGATTATTACTGCTGTGCTGCATTTTATATATTAGAATATTTACTGTTTGTTATCAGAAATGTTCAGAGATTAAAAGGAATGTTTTCTTGTAAAAGCTTATTGAATATTGCCTGATATCATTTTCTTCTGTTTGGTGTGTGCATGTTTTATTATGTATATAATTAAATTGAGTTATGTTGGATTTCCTAGGTTATAGATTACAGAGTACATAACATAAAAACATTGAATGAAAATACATATTAGCAGCTATCATTTAATACTGCAGCACACTATTTCATTTTATCTTTTGTGGCTGTAAACATAAAAGCTCTGGGCCAAACAGCCTAACTTAATGTTTCCTGCATGCTTGCATCAAAACAAAGAAGAAATGTAACTGACTAAACTAAGGCAAGCATGCCAACCGGATGGTTAAATTTCTTTCATTAGTGCAAACCTTAACACCATCTAGTGAAAGAATGAAGTACTTTAACTGAATTCCTACTGTACTCCAGTTTTAATTTATAATGGAGGCCAGAAATTAAACATAAAATTAAATTTATACTATTATTAAAAAATAATAAAAGAAGCTGTAGTAATAAAAAAATGGAAATGCTAATATCTTAAGATAATTTTAAACATTAAACAATTAGAGTCCTAAAATTAAGTTTAAAAATGTTCATACAGTTCGGTACAATTCACCATCTAGATGACAGGATATCTCCTGAAGGTAAAGTTTATGAAGTGGGCATACAAAAGTTCCTAAAGAAGGTTTTGCCTCTGACACTTATCCGCAGTCATCTCTACTCAGGAAGATTTGATAATTTTCCCTATGGGCCTTCCTTTTCGTTTCTGGGAATTAATTTTCTCTAGGTCAAAGTATCCCAGTTTCTTGGATATCTTGAATAAAAGATGATGGTGTCAAAAGAATAAATTTATGAGACTCTTCTTCAATGTATGTAAGAGGCTGATTATTCTTTGTAGCTTCAGTTTCACATGAAATTGTTGAAAGGTCTTCAAAATTAGTGATAATCTACCAAGTGTGCTTAGAAGGTTTATGTCATATTCTGCTTCTTGGGTGGTTTCTGGATATATGTTTCCTTAATGTGCACTAAATGTGGGCATTACATAAACCAGCCATTTTAACGGCACAAAAACTTTATTAACCCCTTAACTGCCGCGGGCGTATATACACGCCTTGCTCAGCCGATGCGTTAACTTTGCGAATAATTTTAGGTGTAGCAGCGCAAAGCAAATGATAGCAGTTTGGAAGGATGTATATATACGCCTGGGGCAGTTAACGCATCGGCTGAGCAAGGGGTATATATATGCCCGCGGCAGTTAAGGGGTTAACACACAAACAAAACAGGAACAAACAATTAACACAAAAATAGAACCATGTTTATCATTACACTGGCATACAGTGGGTTACCTTCGTTACTTCGCTACTAACTACTCTTCTCTTATCTAGTAAGTTACATGAGAGAGAGGTATTGCAGGCCATTCGGCTAAACTGCGCATACGAGGTCATCATGTCATGACAGTTTGTTACACCAAAGAATGAGCCGCTTAATAGAAACAATCCAATAATTTTCTCGCAAGCTGGAACCAACTGTAGGGAGACCAGCATGTGAACTCTTTAAATGACATCTCAAACATTTTACCACATGATGCTATGATTGTAACAGAACTGGATACTTGAAGGAAATTTTGTCATCACATTCTAACAACTTTGTGTTGGCTCTCACTATATTATTATTGGAAAAGTCAAACAACAAGAATCAATGTAATATTTGTAAATTTTGCAATACTAGTTTTGGATGATTTAACTACAGAACCATCTTCCTCAGCTGCCTTCTCATTATATTATTTTGTGGAGATTTCATAGTGAGGCTAAGACACATTTATAAAAATATAAACTTTATTAAACATAACATAATGACACCTCGATGAGAAACTGAACCTGCTGCATCATTTTGCCACTCTGTGTGTAAAAATTTTCTGTTTTGTAAATTATATTATATGAACTGCTAATATACGACAGTCACTTCTAATATAAAGCTGTTACTTTTACATTCTAATTATTATTTTAAACTGGGAAGTTTGTGCATTGTTTCCATCACAACATAGCATTTCATCTTATTTGTTTCATTTCCATAGCAACACCGCAGAGTATCCTTCCAGTGAAGGATACATACATATATATATATCATTGAAATTATACAAGCTAGATGTAGTAGGTTGTACAAAAATGTTGAGGGAATTTGACACATTGTCCTGATTTTGTGATACTTTTAGGTACAGTTGACATGGTATTCTTCAATGTGTCTGTCATACTGGAAGTTTTATGGACTAATGTTTTATCCCTAATAAAAAAAATGCAGGTTTGAATCGATCAATTGAAACAGTTTGAATCGATCAATTGAAACAGTTTGATTCTTGCACAGAGACGATAAAAATTTTGTCATGTTGTTGAATGACAGGAATGACCTGAGTATGGTTGTTGAAGGAGGCTTCACTCAGTTCTCAAATAAACATGAGAACACGATTTTAAGGATAAATGAATGTGGGCAGGCCCTGAACAGTGTTTTGATGTTGCAATGGGAATCAGAGATTGCATTACAAATCGTAAATGACATATGTTTATGTCGGGAATAGCGGAAAAAGCTGATCTGCGTACAAGTTATCCAAATCATGTCATTATAGGTCAAATATATGTTAACCCTTTGACATATAATGACATCTGAAATACATCACATTGTTGATGTTGAAGCAGGTTTTAACACCTCTCATCCATCACAAAATTACAGTCA